GAGGAACAATATCAGAGATGTCTGGTCAGGGATGAAGAAGACACAGGCTTCAAGCAGAGGAAGGATTGCACAGATGGCAGCCTGGACACAGCCAATGAACTGAATAGGGTTGTCACGGTAAGCGATGTAGCGGTAAACCCTGGTAAAAAAGTTGACAATAATAATAACCGTCTTGTTTTTTAAAAAAAATATATCTGTGGATTATCGTGGCTGCGGTGTAGGCGCGGTGACCCTTACCAGCCACCGTATCATCTGCTGAATTTGCTGGTGGCTAGGGATGAGTACCGAATTCGGTACTTTTTAAGGTACCGACCGAATTCCATAGTACCGACCGAGCACCGATTCACGTCATTTCAAACGGTGCCTCGTTTCGGTACCCGTCCTTCATAACGAGAACTTGCCAAGACAGCTGCGCATGTGCAAGAGCGTTATGTCATCGGTCGCTGCGAGCCAGTTGTAAACAGAGCAGCATGGTAGAAAGAACGCACGCTAAAGCTTGGGTCCACTTCACTAAATGTGATGGGTAACTGGGTGATGATGAAACCAGCGACAACGATCTAAGTGAGACATCCTCATCTTAATCTGCTCCGGTAGGTAAATAAAATGTTTAAGATAACGTTAGCTTGATTTGTTAGCTTCCGTTTCACTAATGGTGCGTTCGCTTTCTCCTCGGAACCCCAAATTTCCGACTAGAAGAACATGAACGCGCTCTAAAGTTTGGCTTCACTTTACTAAATGCGACGGGTGATTGGGTGAAGATGAAACCAGCGACAACGATCTAAGTGTGAGGCATCATCGTTTTAATCTGCTCCAGCAGCTAAATAAACTGTTTTAGATAACGTTAGCTTGATATGTTAGCTTCCATTGCCACCATTGTTATCAGCTAATGGTGCGTTCGCTTTCTCCTCGGAAATTCTAACTTCCCAGTAGGAAAAATCAAATGAAAAAGGAGGCAAAAGGAATGAAGATACACAGTAAATTTAGTTCACAGTAAAGATGTTTGCTTCAGTTTAATTATCAGCTTATAAAACTACAAGGACGATGTTAAAATACAAACAGTTGTATGTTATTTATCGTGATATTTATCAAATATGGTTATATATTGAGAAAAATATATATTTAATTATAAAAGAGAATTAAAATATTAAACACTCAAAAGTGTCGAAAATTGGTACCGTTAAGTACCGGTATCGACTCGTAGGTACCGGGAATTAGTACCGGATCGATTCAAATGTCAAAGGTACCCATCCCTACTGGCGGCACACGCGCACTTTGTTGTTTACATCCAAAACTTTCTTGAAGCTAAAGCTGAAATAATGGTCAAAGGAGGAGACGGCAGCGCTCAGGACATTTATTATCCCTCAGAGAAGACGAAGTATGTGCATTTTTTTGATATTTGAAGAATGCCGAGGGACAGCTGATAGAAGAAGGCTATCCTGTTTGCAGCACATGCAGAAAAAATGTCTGTGAAAGGCAGCAACGCCTCAAATCTCATGACACATCTGCGTGACCATCACCCACAACTCTACAGTCAACGCAAGGCAAGCTAACGTTAGCGTTTTAGCTAAAATGCGTGATCCGAGGATTTGGGTTGAGGGAGAATGCTACAAGTCGCTATATAAAGCAGCCGCAGCGCCGCTACCTGCATATAAACTGTGTCGCGGGCACCGCCATGTTGAAATGACGCTATGCATTACGGGGCTCCCAGGGGCAGATAAGAGTTGGTCTCTCTCCGAGAATAATTATGAATTTAACTATGATTACTGCCTGATGACATTTTCCCACATCTGCAAAGCTCACTGGAAGGACACAAACCGAGGACAATATTTTCCTGATATAGGGTTTATTACTCAAGTAAGGGTAAAAAAGTATCTGATTAGAAGGCTACTTGAGTACTGAGTATCATCTGATCTAATATTTTTTAAATGATGACATCAAACAGACAAAAATTAAGAAGTTATGGGCAAATATTGTATTTTAAAGACTAAAGGGAAAAATGTAAACAGATAAACAACATAATTACAAAATAACACATTTTAGGCAAAATTTAGACACAAACTGAGGACAATATTTTCCTGATATACACGGTTTATTTAGCTGTCTGAAAATGTAACACGTTTAAAAAAAATACCGCGATAATACCGAAAACCGTGGTAATTTTGGTCACAATAACCGTGAGGTTACACTTTCACACCGTGACAACCCTACAACTGAACAAGTTCTTCAATAGGTTTAGTTCAGGAACAAACCCAGCATCCTCCTCGCCTGTCCCCAGCCAATCAGACATCCCATCCTCCTCTGATCCAACATTTTCCTGTCACACACCAGCTCTTTTATCCTCTAACACAGTCATGGACTCTTCTGGTTCTATAAATCTGTCTTCAACCAAGTCAGGAGATGCTGCTGCCCCATTTACCTCCCCCTCCCACCTATCTGTCTCTAGAAGTCAGGTGAAGAGGCAGCTGGAGAGACTGAACAGGAACAAGGCTGCAGGTCCAGATGGTGTCCGCCCCAGAGTACTGAAGGCCTGTGCAGAGCACCTCTGTGGGATTCTGCAGCACCTCTTCAACCCCAGCCTGGCCCAGGAGAAGGTTCCAGTCCTGTGGAAGACATCCTGCCTTGTTCCAGTTCCAAAGAAAACTCGCCCATCAGTCAGTGACGACTACAGACCGGTTGCCCTGACATCCCACATCATGAAGGTCCTGCAGAGACTCCTGTTGGTCCACCTGAATAAGCAGACTAGGACATATCAGGACCCGCTGCAGTTTGCTTATCGCCATGGAGTTGGAGTTGAAGATGCCATCATCCAGCTGCTTCAACCAACCCACTCTCATCTGGACAAAGCAGGCACCACTGTCGGTCATGTTCTTTGATGTCTCCAGTGCATTTAACACAATCCAGCCTGATGTACTTTGCCAGAAACTCCAGAAGACACAGGTGGGGGCCTCAACTATCGCTTAGGTCCTTAAATGCCTTTAGCAAGATGCTGCAGATCTTCTACAAGTCTGCTGTTGAGAGTGTAATCTCTTCAGCCATCGTCTGTTGGGGTAGCAGCATCAGAAGCAGGGACCTGAAAAGGCTCAACAGCCTAATAAAAAAGGCTGGTTCTGTTCTGGGGACGACTGTGGAACCGCTGGAGGAGATGATGCAAAGAAGGATTCTCCAGAGAATCAAGAAAATGATGGACAACCCTGAGCATTTTCTTCACAAGACTGTCCGACAACGGAAGAGTGTCTTCAGTCAGAGGCTTCTTCAGTTTGGCTGCAACACTGACCGCTACTGGAGATCCTTCCTGCCAACAGCCATTGTAATATACAACACCTCTTTGATGACTTGATTATTATTATTATTCTGAGCTACTACAGCAATCAGTTTCCCTCTGGGATTAATAAAGTATTATTGAACTGAATTGAGGCTTTAGATCCTGATCGGCGCTCCATCTGGTGCAACCCAAGCTTGCCTTACCACTGTGGGGAGCAGAGCTTTCAGTCGCTCTGCCCCACGACTCTGGAAATCACTTCCTCCTCCCATTAGAAATATTGACTCTTTTAAGCTATTTAAATCAGACATGAAAACCCGCCTATTCAAGCTAGCATATTCCCTTTAATATGCAATCTTAGAGTAAATGTTAGTACATGCTTCTATTGTTCTTTATTTTATCTTTGTAAGGTGTCCTTGGGTCTGAGAAAGGTGCCCTCAAATAAAATGTACTGTTATTATTAATAGTATATTCATCACATACTGGTCGAATTACGTCTCCACATTTGACCCATCTCCAGAAGGAGCAGTGGCTGCGCTCGGGAACTATTTGGAGGTTTAACTCCCCAATCCAAGCCCTTGAAGCTGAGTTTAGTGGCATTTAAACCATGCCCAGTTGGCACTAAGGGTCCTAATGTGTGCCAAGAAAACATCCCCCACACCATTACACCTCCACCACCAGCCTGCACAGTGGTAACAAGGCATGATGGATCCATGTTCTCATTCTGTTTACGCCAAATTCTGACTCTACCGTCTGAATGTCTCAGCAGAAATGGAGACTCATCAGACCAGGAAACATGTTTCCAGTCTTCAACTGTCCAGTTTTGGTGAGCCGGTGCAAACTGTAGCCTCTTTTTCCTGTTTGTAGTGGAGATGAGTGGTACCTACCCGGTGGGGTCTTCAGCTGTTGTAGCACATCCGCCTCAAGGTTGTGCGTGTTGTGGCTTCACAAATGCTTTGCTGCGTTCCTCGGTTATAACAAGGTTTAGGGTCTTCTATCAGCTTGAATCAGTCGGCCCATTCTCCTCTGACCTCTAGCATCAACAAGGCATTTTGGCCAACAGGACTGCCACATACTGGATGTTTTTCCCTTTTCACACCATTCTTTGGGGGCAGCAGTAGCTCAACAGGTTGAGCGGGTTGTCCAGTAATCGGAAGGTTGCCGGTTCGATCCCGGCTCCGGACAGAGAATTCTGCTGTTGTGTCCTTGGGCAAGACACTTAACCCACCTTGCCTGCTGGTGGTGATCGGAGGTGGCGCCAGTGCTCGGCAGCCTCGCCTCTCATCCCCACCAGTGTATGAATGTGTGTGTGAATGGATGAATGATACACTGTAGTGTAAAGCGCTTTGGAGTCCTTACTCTGAGAGGCGCTATACAAGTGCGGGCCATTTATCATTATCATTTAAACCCTAGAAGTGGTTGTGGGTGAAAATCCCAGTAACTGAGCAGATTGTGAAATACTCAGACCGGCCCGTCTGGCACCAACAACCATGCCACGCTCAACATAGCTTAAATCACCTTTCTTTCCCATTCTGACCTTCAGTTTGGAGTTCAGGAGATGGTCTTGACCAGGACCACGCCCCTAAATGCATTGATGCAACTGCCATGTGATTGGTTGATTAGATAATTGCATTAAGGAGAAGTTGAACAGGTGTTCCTAATAATCCTTTAGGTGAGAGTAAGTGTGAATGTGAAGTTCCATCGAACGGTAATTCACATCATGTTTCTGGGTTTCCTACAGATGTTCAACAGCTGGTGCTGGTTAAAGAAGAAGCTCCTGAGGAACAGAGTGCAGGTGAGGACCAGAAAGACCCAGAACACGTCCACATGAAGGAGGAACAAGAAGAAAACTGGACCAGCCTGGAGGGAGAGCAGCTCCATTTGAAGGAGAAAACAGATGCTGCCAGGTTTCCATTCACATTGGCTTCTATAAAGAGTGAGGATGATGAAGAGAAACCTCTGTTCTCACAGCTTCATCAGCAGCAAGTAGAAGTCAACGATGTCCAAACCAAAGGTAATCAGCGTATCGTAAATATGTATGTAAAGAAATGTATTCATAAAAGAACTAGACATAAAACAGAAGAATAAACACAAGAAGTTAATCAGTGTTAGTAATCAGACTTATATGTGATGTACCACAGAAGGAAGTAGTGGTTAGTATTGTAAACTTCAATCAGAAATGAACCTAAATCAGTTAAAAATGTGTACTAGTTCTAACAGTTAGTGGAGTTCCTCACTTTTAACTGTTATGAACTCGGCCATAGATCTATAGAGACCAGCCGCATGACCTCAACCAAGTCTACCACGTCTGTACGTTATGTTTAGACACGAATTCCACACACACACACACACACACACACACACCAGAACTTGTGTGACGTGAAACAGAGACCCGAGGGAGAGCTGATGGAAAATTCACCCCCTTTTGGTGCGATTCGAGTTGGGTAATCAGATTTATGGGTGGTGGTGTCATCGAGATGTGTGGAACCCTTGTGAGGTTTGATTTGGTTCCTGTGGACCCACCTATAGATGGGATCTTTCTTACTTTTGGTGATCTTGGTCTGATACACGACCGGAGAGTTTTTCAGTGACCTGGTATGGACCTGACCACTTTGGTAAAAGTGTCTCAGCTAGTGTTAGGGATGTTATCCATAACCCAACACCTGCAGCTACGAGAAAAGGAGACACTGACTACGTATACATGCAGCCAATATCCGGGTTATGATCGGGTTAAGGTCGGGATTCGGGTTTCTGAGTTGATCAGAATAACCCGTTTACAAGCATAAATAGAAAGAGTTACCTCTAACTTGCATAACCCGATTTAAATGCGGACGTTGGGGTAGCGTCAGGACGTATGGACTACGTCCAGACGCCATATGCGTCATATCCGGTTCTTCTTGTTCCGGTATCCGTGAAAACAACAACATGTTTCCCAGTTCGGAAGAGATAGCGACCGCGTTTGTTTGCGCTTTAGTTTCCTCGTCACTCCAAAAGTGTGGCGCTGTGCCGCGGCTCGCCATGTTGCTCCCAACTTGTTGTTTACTTCCGGAGTTCTGGCGCATACAAGACGTCTCGCTACTCAAAAGACCAAGATTCCTTGCGAACAGAGCATGTGCAGAACACACGCTTTGATGGGGATATCCCGGTATGCGTTTACACGACCAAACATTCGGGTTAGAAAAGGGTTACCCCAGGTGTAGTAACCGGGTTTTTAAAAACCCGGTTATGAGCATATCCGGGTTTCTGGCGGTATTTACATGGACCTGCGGAACCGGGTTATTGTGAATATTCGGGTTTTAAAAGGGTTACTGGCTGCATGTAAACGCAGTCAATTAAGCAGACAAGTCATCAGATTGCAATCAGGGGCAGAAGCTCAAGGCAACGGCCAAGAGAACCTGTCCTGAGTTTATTTATACAAGAACAAACGATAAGAGTGTGTGTGTGTGTGTGTGTGTGTGTGTGTGTGTGTGTGTGTGTGTGTGTGTGTGTGTGTGTGTGTGTGTGTGTGTGTGTGTGTGAGTGTGTGTGTGTGTGTGTGTGTGTGTGTGTGTGTGTGTGTGTGTGTGTGTGTGTGTGTGTGTGTGTGTGTGTGTGTGTGTGGGTTTCTGAGTGAATGAGAATGCTTTCAGGCATAGAGCAACACATTCAGTTAATAGGGTCAATGATCAAGAAATAATAAAACATACATTTTCTGTAACAGCCAGTTTACCAGAGGTGACTTCTGTCTGACCAGACTTAGGAGCAAAGTTGTAGAACCAGGCCTCACCACCTACGTTGGCCCTACGTTCACGTTCACCTACCTTCCTGCCCTCAGCTGATTTCTCCAGATTTGTCTGTGCAAAAGAAAAAGCTGCAAGCAGATGGTTCTTCAAGTCTTGTAATACAGCTCGTTGGTGTAAGCTGGAGCAGCAGTGCACCGAGCTGATTGATACAGCAGGTGAAGCGGCAGGGTCATCTGTCTGCCCGTCATCAGCCTGTAGACTCATGATGAGTGGCCTGTATGGCCATAAGGACCAACAGAAGCTTCACACCCAGTCTCTGTGATTGGAGGACACGCATTTCTTTAACATGCTGACAACCGTTCGGTTCATCCTTTCAACTTGGCCAGATGGTGCGGTGCGCCTGTTGTGTTGTTGTGAGACGTGAACGTAGTAGAAGACAAGGGGCGTGGCGTGAACGTGCGGACGTGAGCGAAGACAGACATGTGGATCTGCCACATCGTCATCAACATCCTCGCTATCTGCCTCAGACTCCGGCTGTGAGTCTCCGCCCACTTCCTCTGCTTCCAGTCCAAAAAACAGCCGTACTATCTGAACTGCCTGGTGGACATTTATCCTTTTCATCATCCTTTATATAAGCCTAATAAACGCCTACTAACTGCAGAGACCATATATCTGTCCGGATCGCTCCAAAATATGAAGTTTACCGTCAATATCTAATTGTTGCTACTCCGTCCGCGCCACTCCTTCCCCCGCAAAGCGGCAGCTTTTTGCGCACATCTCGTTACTCGTGCAGCCTTCCTCTCTCTCGCAGCTACATAATGATGCTTTTTATCAATTGAATATGTGAGACTTCCACCGACAGCTAAAGGATCTCATGTTTTTGTGGGTTTTTTCATGTTCACAAGCACGTTCCCTCTCACGGATTAGAATAGAAAACTTTATTTGTCAATTTCTTCAAATGTGCTTGTCACACAAAGGAATTGAAATTAAGTTTCACACTGTCCCATGCGTAGACACTGACAACATAAAGTGCAGATGCACAACAAAAACAGCCCTAACAATAAGCTCATATTAAATAGGTAACAGGATAGACGAGACCTAACCTAAAATCAAATACATTAAATAAGGTGTTCCAACAGTATTCCCTGGAAGTAGTATACTAGTCTACTTGAGGTAGTCCCATGTTGTGGTAGTTAGGGGTTTATGTTTTAATGCAGCATAAGACTATAGCCGCAGTAATAGTAATATAAGTAAATAGCGCTAAAAATATACTAAAAATATATAGCAGCAGGTGTGTTGTTTCCAGTCAGGAATGTTTCCCAGTTCTTGGTTCAACGAGTATTTCCTTGTTGGAAAGTGTGCGTGGATGGGGGGTAGGGGGTGTAGGGTCCAGTCTGTCTTCCTATACTCCTGTCACACTGGTGGTTCTGCTGGCTGGGAGCCGGGAGGGAAGAGAGTTCAGCAGTCTCACAGCCTGGTGGACGAAGCTGTTGGTGAGCCTGGTAGTGCGGGAGCGGAGACTTCTGTATCTCTTTCCAGAGGGCAGGAGGCTGAACAGACAGTGCGCAGGGTGGGTGGCGTCGTTGACAATTGTGATGGCTTTGCGGATGAGGCGAGTGGTGTAAATGTCTTGCAGGGAGGGGAGTGGTCCAGATTTATTTAGCAGATCTCAAAAACAACAAAACACTCAAACATAAACACATCACAGCATAAATCTAACATTCACGTTTTTTCTTGTAAACTGTGGTTTCCACAAATACATTTTAACTTAAAGGAACATTCCACCACTCAGTAAAACTGTGTCTTGTTAAGATTCCCCAGTTGGTTTTCTTAGTTTAGCATAAAACAATGTACGTGAATTCACATACATTATAGTGTTTTTTATGTAGGTGAATGCAGGCCTTCCCTTCCATTGCTTCATGCTAAAACAACTGGTTACAACATGTTTTTTCTGACTTGGCTAACTCTGGGGAATCTAACAACACACACAAATTTAGGGACAGAAGATCCCTATAAGAATATTAAAATAATAAAAATGCAGCAATAAATAAAACTTAATACTTGTGCTTTGTAACAAAGTAACACTCTGGAAGTGAACTTGGTGAACTTATTCACCCTGGACAGGAAATAATTGCACATAAGAAACATAAATAAGAATAAAGAAATAACTAAAAAGTTCCAAAACAATAATTTGTGTTCAAAGTTCAAAGGAGTGGTGCCACACAACATGAGTTCACACCTGGCGCCATCTGCTGGATAGGTAGTGCAATATCGGCCTTATCGGCCATCTTTTTGGATGATAGCCGATACTGTTAATGACCCCTATATCAGCCGATAATATCGGCCGGCCGATTTATCAGTTGGGCCCTAATGGAAACAGCCATCCGTAGTGAAGTCTCTTTAAACCAGAAGCAACCTTTGACACGCCGTCAAGGTTGTTGCAAAGCTGACACAGCAAACGGTTCCTGCAGGGCAAAGCTGATATTGTTCCAACTCTTAAGAGTCTAAACGCAAACGGTTCCATCCAACCTGTGTGCCTGGCGACATCTCTGGACTGGAGAAGTCGGTGCTGTGGTCAATCTACTGGACCTGGGTGTCTAGAGGTTTTCCGACCTCGATGACCTCCGGATCCGCAAAGAGGGTCTCCGAGAAGGGTGAGGTAGAACACAGTGTGATTGCGTCTGATGCTTTTTGATAATAATCAACTTCATAGCTTAATGCAAACCAAATTCTTTCCCTTTTACACCCTAAACTCAGTTCTCCTAGGTACGGAAGTTCTCATAACATCATATTCACACATAGGCACCATATACCACATCTCCTCCATCTAGATTCGTCCGTCACGTAAATATTAGTTAAAGGCAGGGTACGTAATTTTAAATGTGAAATAACTTTAAAAATGTTTAATTTTGACCATCTGACCTAGTTTTATTTAAAAAAGTAAATAATCTCTAATATTTCAATTTTCTCCTAAGTCCCTCCCCTGCCCTGTAGAGCTCAGCCAATATTTCTGCAAGCCTAACGCGTTGACCAATAGCGCTGCATTACCACCAGGGGCAGCTGTCAATCATCGAGAACGAGCATTAGATCTCAGCGTGCACAACAGTGTCACGCGCCTCACTCGGCTTAGAGAGGACTACAGAAACATGGAGCAACAAACCCCCAAATTACAAATTCCTTGACTGCCTTCCACATCTCAAAAAACATTTAAAAAATTTAAAAGGTCTTTTTCAAAAGTGGCTGTAAGACGTTTAAGACAGTTGAGTCAAATTTACATTGGAGATTGTTTTAA